CTCTGATGTTTAATTGCTCACAGATGTTGATCAGCACTCTCAATGTTTTCTAAGTCTGTATCCCTTAATATTCACTTCAAGTCTGGAAGAATGGGGGGTAATCAGGCTTGATCGGGAAATGAAGTGACTCCAATTTCCCGGGTCAAGGCAAACCCTTCCCCCCGAGAGGTCCCCCTTGGTCCCCTTTTCACCTTGTATGTTTTGTGCTTATCCCCCACGTTTAAAACCATTTTCGGCGTCCTGGTGAGTGGCGAGGGTGGGGCGTGGTGGTGGTGGGGGGGCGAGAGTGGGGCGTGGGGGAGGCGTGGGGGGGGAAAGTGGTGGGTGGGAGAGGGGTGGGCGAGCGTGGGTGGTGGTGTGGTGATCATGGGGAGGAGAGGGTCAGGTGTTGGAGATCGGGCTGTTCCCCCTCCCCCAGATCCCCTCCTGCAACACAATAACAACAAATGTGTCTAATTTATCAAATGTTATTAATAACAGAAAAACAAAACGAATGTATTTCTTTAGTTAGAACAAATTTAAAACAGTTCTTAAGTATTTTTTTTTTTGGTAGAGCAAAAACAAAACATTTTTTATTATATGAAAAATAAGAGAAAATTAATTTTTTTTAATAAGAAAAATAATTTCTGAAATAAGGAAAAAAAGATTTAGTAAGAAAAATTAAAAAAAAATACATTTCTTTAGGAGGAAAAATAATTTCTTTGATAAGAAAAGAAAATATATATTAGAACGAAAACGTAAACAAACCCTTTATTTAATAAAAATAAATTATCTAAGTAAAATAAAAAAAAACACAAACAAAATATTTCTCTAATAATAAAAATTTATTTCTTTAAAGAACTTAAAAATATTTCTTATAGTGTAAAACACATTTTTTTAATAAAAAAATAAAATATCCTATGATGGTTTTGACGAACGGAAAATTGGCGAGACGTCACGCAATGTAAACACTAGAATTTAAGAACAACAGTGCATTTGTTGGACTTACAACATAAACACTGTATTGGTCATCAGGATAAACATTATATATCATGGCGAGATGTTAAGGAAAGGCACAGAATCAGGAAGATATCTCTGAGCAGTTTTAATTAGTACGTAAAGACCACTGAACTTAAATATGGTGCATTAGTTTAGCCAGAACCCTTGCACATATCGTTTTACAAAGGGCAGCTTTTGGTGCTAGAGTTGTATAAGATTGAGATAAACGTGTAAAGGATAAAAAGTTACGCATCATTTCCACTAGATCAGTGTACTTGCTCGACTTATTAAGAGTTTGTGTATTTCTATCTTTAGAGGATTTTAGAGGAAAATGTAGTCCATGTATAGTAAAGACGAAGTTATATGCGGGAGTGTTCACTCCTAGGGCAAAATCTATGGGCATGAGCCCAGCCTCAAGTATATGACGTTAAAACGATGGATGGTAGTTTACCAAGCTGCTGGTAAATGTAATATTCTTGCCGATGGTATTAACCATTTCTATCTACTGTGTTAATTGTAAGAGACGATGATGTGTCGGGAGTGTTTCTTGGTGACTGTGGTGTGTAGTGGACCACACCTAAGACTGGCTGGGGTCTTCTGTATGAGTGGTAGCATAACCTCGCAGGGAACCATTAAGAACGTAAGGGTTATATAGCACCTCGGAGAATGGGAGGTGTTCAAGTTCGATCCAAGGGAGGGGTGGACAATTCTAATTCCTTGAATCAACGCCTATCACAGGCGTCAAGAACTCTCCCTAGAGATGGTCTGTCTGTCCGTCTGGACTGAGCACAAGCTTGTTTATATTTCGAAAAATGCAACGAGTGTTCCTTAGAGTTAGTGCCTTGTGGCATTCTGGCGTCCACCAGGACACTTAATGTTTAATGTCAGTATCAAGGTCTTTTTAAGAACTAACTCAGGAGACCTAGTGATTGATAAAGTGACAATGTGTTCCTTCGTGTCTGCCATTTCGGGAGATATCAAGGTCAGCGATCCTTCAGAATGACCAAGACTCTGCTTTCTTGAAATTATTAAAAACGAGCCATCGAAAGTTCACAACCCGTGTCAGGCCTCTGTCCTGGGGAATGTTAAAACAACAACAACTGAAGTTATAAGTGTAGAGTGGAGGACAGACCAGAGTGTCGCAATCATAAGAGATGCAACTCAGGAAATGATCAACTCCCGGATTTAGTCGTCAAAGACACCTCACGTAACAGATGGTGTTATAACCAGAGAGAAAAATAATATATATACACCAGATGTATGTTTCCACCCTAATCATTGGCACTAGTGCCACTATCGGCCTAAGGCGACTCAGTTAATGGTGGACGTTTAAGTGTCCTTCAAGGAATTTACGGTGAGGCAGTTGATCAGAAAGCAAATTAAAACCATCAGCATCAGGGAACACCGGAATTAGGAACGAGCAGGCAGTTACTAGTAAGACTACACTAGTGAAATAGTACTAGTGTGTCAATACTAGCGCAACAGTGCAAGTACAACAGTACTAGCGCATTAGCACTGGTGCTACCGCACAACACGGAAGTATCCAACATAAATATAGTCAGACCGTGGTGCTTTACGGAATGTTAAACAGATTGAGAATGCCCTTTCGCGTACCTTCAACAATCTTAGTCATGACGTCTCACGGCAGTGACCTAACCCTGCAGTTATCAATGTTAGCTTCTTCCATGTCCACTGGATCCTGCAGTAGACAAATCTGCAGAAATTCATGTTGGCGGTTATGGAAGGCTCGTAACGACAAAACTTCTTCGCTTACAGTAAGTCCAGAAGTGAGCGGCAGTTTTAACACTTAGTGAAATATCACCCACTAGCCAACTTACGGACATGTTTCACAGAGCCAGCCTGACTGTTATTACAATCTTAATCAAGAATGGACTGAGGGAATCAAGCCTCACAGAGCCAGTCGAATAAAGAGCATCAGTTACATTCTGTTAGTACTATATAACGCATATCGAACGAGTCCTCCAGTCTCTCCTGATGAGGGAGTGAAGAATCAGAAGAGTCCTAGGACACATGTCCCCTGTCACAAGTTTATTTAGGTACAGGTGCCCAAATACATTTATGCAAATTATTATACATTGTAATATATGTGTAGGTTACCTAGGATAACCCTAAAAAAGTCAGTGACTTACATCCATTGGAGATGATCTCTGATGTCCTACAAATGTCGTAAAATTTACTGTTACCTTGGGGTGAGGATTTTCAAGGACTGTGAAGGGGCCTTTGGCAACCTATATAGAGATCATAAAATGGAAGTTGAAATTTTTTTAAATTTTAGGTTTTCTTAACAAAAAATAGTGCAAAATTCTGGCAACATGTTGATGCAATCAGCTTGTTTCTATCATATTTCTAAGTATGTTTTTTTCAAAAATGTAATTTTTATGTTTTTGTTGTCATCAAGAGGACATGTTGGCAATTAGTGTTTTTATTGTTTTTGTTTACTCCAGAAATTACTATTATTTCATTCTAAACAAGTTCTGTGACGACTAAAGTGAAGAGCACAGAGTTGTTGCAGCTCAGTTGCCTCTGGGTTATCAACAATGATAGGGGTCTGCAACACGCTCACTCTGGGTTATTAACAATGATAGGGGTTTGCAACACGCTCACTCTGGGTTATTAACAATGATAGGGGTTTGCAACACGCTCACTCTGGGTTATTAACAATGATAGGGGTTTGCAACACGCTCACTCTGGGTTATTAACAATGATAGGGGTTTGCAACACGCTCACTCTGGGTTATCAACAATGATAGGGGTTTGCAACACGCTCACTCTGGGTTATCAGCAATGATAGAGGTTTGCAACACGCTCACTCTGGGTTATTAACAATGATAGGGGTTTGCAACACGCTCACTCTGGGTTATCAACAATGATAGGGGTTTGCAACACGCTCACTCTGGGTTTATCAGCAATGATAGGGGTTTGCAACACGCTCACTCTGGGTTATTAACAATGATAGGGGTTTGCAACACGCTCACTCTGGGTTATCAACAATGATAGGGGTCTGCAACACGCTCACTCTGGGTTATTAACAATGATAGGGGTTTGCAACACGCTCACTCTGGGTTATTAACAATGATAGGGGTTTGCAACACGCTCACTCTGGGTTATCAACAATGATAGGGGTTTGCAACACGCTCACTCTGGGTTATCAGCAATGATAGGGGTTTGCAACACGCTCACTCTGGGTTATTAACAATGATAGGGGTTTGCAACACGCTCACTCTGGGTTATCAACAATGATAGGGGTCTGCAACACGCTCACTCTGGGTTATTAACAATGATAGGGGTTTGCAACACGCTCACTCTGGGTTATTAACAATGATAGGGGTTTGCAACACGCTCACTCTGGGTTATTAACAATGATAGGGGTTTGCAACACGCTCACTCTGGGTTATTAACAATGATAGGGGTTTGCAACACGCTCACTCTGGGTTATCAACAATGATAGGGGTTTGCAACACGCTCACTCTGGGTTATCAGCAATGATAGGGGTTTGCAACACGCTCACTCTGGGTTATTAACAATGATAGGGGTTTGCAACACGCTCACTCTGGGTTATCAACAATGATAGGGGTTTGCAACACGCTCACTCTGGGTTATCAGCAATGATAGGGGTTTGCAACACGCTCACTGGGTTATCAACAATGATAGGGGTTTGCAACACGCTCACTCTGGGTTATCTACAATGATAGGGGTTTGCAACACGCTCACTCTGGGTTATCTACAATGATAGGGTTTGCAACACGCTTCACTCTGGGTTATCAACAATGATAGGGGTCTGCAACACGCTCACTCTGGGTTATCAGCAATTGATAGGGTTTGCAACACGCTCACTCTGGGTTATCAACAATGAGAGGGGTTTGCAACACGCTCACTCTGGGTTATCAACAATGATAGGAGTTTGTTTGCAACACGCTCACTCTGGGTTATCAACAATGACAGGGGTTTGCAACACGCTCACTCTGGGTTATCAGCAATGATAGGGGTTTGCAACACGCTCAC